AGAGATCACTCTGGCAGTTGAACAAAGGACTGATGGGTTGAAAAAGGAAGAGATAGCGGGGGATACCAATTAGGAGAAAACAATACTAGATTTTTCCATGTAGAAAGTGATGAAGGTCTGAACTAAGGTGATGCTTGTATGAATGCAGAAAAAGATACATATGAAAGATAGATAGAAGTGACAAAACTTGACAACTGACTGGATGTGGGTGATTAGGAAGAGAGGAGTCCATTTAATTTATTCTGATAAATGTTTAGTAAGAATCAATAATAACTAGGAAGCTGGTGGTACTTTCAAAAGAACTAAGGAACCTTGGTGGGGTGACAGGTTGAAAAGGAGAACATAATGATTTCTATTTTGAACATATTAGGTTTGAGATGCCAATAGCATATCACATGGAAATGTCCATTGTGGGGGACTGGAAGACAAAAGAGATTAGTGCTGTAGGAGTGATCTGTGTAGATAAGATAAATGACAGACTTTGAAAGACAGTGAAGGATAGAAGGGCCTGGCATGTTATGGTCCTTGGAATCATGAAGAGTTGGACATGACTGAGCAACTGAACAACAACAAAATCCAGGAGATCACCAAGACGGAAAGAGAAGTAGACTCAGGATGGAGCACCCACTGTTTAGGGACATTGGAAAGTCACATTTCTAGCAAAGAGAACTAAAAAGTGATCAGAAAGGTAAAAGGAGAACCAGGAGAGAATAGCATCAAGCAATGCTAAGGAGGAGATCATATCCAGGAAGAAAGAGTAACAATATCAAAAGCCCAAAAAGTCACTTTTCCTCTCTCCCCCTTAGTGCCTTCATCTTTAAAATGTGAGGGCTAAACTAAATGATTTTTAAAATTCCCTTCAGCTCTAAATCTTATGCTTCTATCACTATTTTAACCTTTTGACACACTGGTCAATAAGAAAGCAAAGAGAGATTGAGGGCAGGCATTCAAAGAACAAAATCAGCTCCAGAAGCTAGTATCTTTTCCATAAGATGTTGCATTGAAATATTTTAATGTCTCTGGTACAGACAACATGAAAACTGTTTTGCTTCCTCTTAAGTGTGACTCTTTAACTGTGCTTATAACTCCATTCAAGTCAGCTCATCTTTCTAATCCCATTTCATTCTGACATAGGCAAAGCTATTTCCTGTTTTCTTTGGGCAGGCAGGCAGGGCAGGGTAGGGGTGGGGGAAGGAAAGTGCAGGGGGAGTAGAGGAAATTTTAGTACTAAAATCATTGTGGGAAAACAAACAAACAAACCACATACTCCAGAAATGATTGAATGAATGGAAAAATGTTGGTGATTTCAATGGAGGGGGAAAAAAAAGCCATCTATACTCTCCATGACTCTTACACTCAAGAAGAAGATGGCACATCAAGAGCAAACACAGAAAACAACAGCAAGAGTCAAGATCTTCATGAAGGCCTGGGGTTCAGCCAAAATATTCTGCCACTTATCTGAGAGAATGCAATGAACATTTCTATTCGAGATCTTAGTACTGTAGAGCTCATAAATAGCCCAGATGTCACAGAGAAGAGATGTATATGAAAGGTAATAACGGAGAATGTTTGGAATGAATCCTCAACATTTCTGACTGCTGTTAACCCCACTTTGACCTCAGTTTTTACTGTTTTCAATGGCAGATGCAATTTTTTTTTCATTCAATGCACTATTTTTATCAGCCAGTCAAGATGGCAGTTATACTAGTGCTAGACAGCTGGACTCAGCTTTGAATTAACGATCAAGTAAACACAGTGGGCTTATAAACATGTTATTTCAGAATGAAAGGGCAACAATCACAGTCTACAAAATTATAATAAAAATGAGAGATGGATCAAATACCAGTGCAGAATTTATTTATAGCTTTCACCAGAACCTCTCCACCTTTCCTCCTCCAAACTAAATTAATAGGCCTTAATGGAAAAGCAGTATTATATAATCACTAGAATGGCTTGGAGTCAGGAAGACTTGAGTACAAATCCTTCTTTCTATACTGGCTAACTGCACAACTATGAACAAAGTACTTAATTTTCTTAGCCTCAGTTTCCTCACCTGTAAGATGGGAATAATAATACTTGCACCATCTATATCTCAGGATTGTTGTGAGACTCAGACGAGATGACGGAAATGCTTTGCAAACCTTAACGAGTTATATGAATGTCAGGACAATCTATTAAAAGTAAGCTGTGTCTGAACATTTGAGTTTGTTATAAATGACATAGTGCCTGGTTCAAATGACCATCCATTAAGTGTTTTATAAATGGCTACTTATTTTCATCTTTCATCATCCTAATTAATCATGTTATCAATCAACAAGAATAAATAAGTGCTTACTATCCACCAAGAACTGTCCTAAGTTCTAGGGGTTTAAGTAGAGGCAAAAACAGATACTCATCTTCATGGAGTTTAGTTTACATTCTTCTGGAGAAGACAGCATGCAAATAACTATACACACACACACACAAGATAGATACAAAGTGGATGGCAGACAACCTTAGATACTAATAATTCAAGCATATTAATAATAATTGACAACCTTAGATGCCAGTAATTGAAGATGCTTTCTTTGAAGAGACAGATCTAGCAGCTAAAATAAATCTAAGAGAATCTAGAATATTTTGAACAATTAAAGCTGTGATCTCCTACAAGCATCAAGATCAGTGTGACTATGTGATAGTAGCATAGTGATCAGCCAAGCAACACAACAGAGAAATAAATCTCAGCCTGAGACAATGGAAGGAGCATGTCTTTTTCTTACTCTTATCATTGGCCTTGTAAAACCTCAAACTATTTATTGTGATGAAATGATCTGAATGTCCAGTTCAGTTTGTCTGTGATGAACCACACTTTCTGTCTTTTTCTATCATGTTGCCATTTCTGCCTCTGTATGATGTGTTTATATGTAGTTTCTTATCAGAATCTCCCTAAAGGGTTCATAAGTAGGCACAGTGTTTGCATCCCCATTCACTAGCAGTTGGGACTGTGATGTCAAAGCTGGCTTTCAGAGAGCTGGGTGACAAGGCATTCATTAGTAAAGTAAGTATGTGATAGGTGATCTCTTCATCTTACTCTCATCTCTAAACACACACACACACACACACACACACACCCCACTACATCTAGCTGAGCAAAATGACTACTATAACTTCCCCAAGCAAATTGAAACAGAGGCTTGAGGCATGTATTTAGCAGATTCTCAAAGATTTCAAATGTCCTTTTCTTTGGTAAACTCATTAAAAGAACAAAAGTTGATTTGTGATATTTTGGAATGAATTATATTTGCGTATCACTCTCAAGTAGCCTCAGAACTTTTACCCAAGCAGCATAAACTGAGAAAATAATAGCTAAATAAATAGATGATATTTTTATAGAGCTTTAGTTTACAAAATACTTTATCCATGTTATTGCACTTGTAGTTCAAAAATGAAAGAAGGTTTGAACTCTGTTCTTCTTGCCTACAAATTAAACACATTGTGCTTTATACCACCTAGTTATCAATTGTAGAAATAGGCCAATATCTACAGGAAAGTGGAGACATTTTAAAGATGTTATTAAAACTTCAAAAAATAGCTTTGAACACTTGCCAGGTAGGAACGAGGGCCAATGAAAAAGGACATTCTTTGTATGGATCATATATTTTGACTTGATATAAAGAATAATTTTTTTTTTTTAACAATCAGAACCATCCACAAGTGGAAAGGGCTGCCTCAGGAATTAGGAGGCTGTCTCTTACTGGATGTCTTCAAGTAAAAGCTAGGTGACCAATTGTTGAGTATATTGTAGATAGGATTCTTGTTAAAAAGTATTTTGGGTGACTTAGTGGGTTAGATAGAATGTTGAACTGAGAATCAGGAAGACCTGAGTTCATATCTTCCCTCAGATTGAATGGCCCTGGCCAAGTTACTTTACATCTTAGCCTTCATTTCCTCATTTGCAAAATGGGGAACAATAATAGCACATACTTCACAAGGTGGATGTGAGGATTAAATGTGATCATATGTTTCATGCTCTACAAACCAGATTAAAATTAAATTAAACATTAAAAAGTGCTATATTGTTGTCATTTTTCAGTTGTGTCTGATTTTTTGTGACCCCACTTGGGGTTTTCTTGGTAGAGAATCTGGAGTGGTTTGCCATTTCCTTCTCCAGCTCACTTTACAGATGAGGAAACTGAGGCCAACAGGGTTAAGTGACTTGCCCAAAGTCACACAGCTAGTAAGATTCTGAGGCTAGATTGGAACTCAGGAAGGTGAGTCTACCTGACTCCAGACCCAGCACTCTATCCACTGCACTACTGAGCTGCACCTATAAGTGCAATATAAGCACTATATAATTGCAAGCAGTTATTATTGTTCAGGTATAGATTGGATTAGATGGTCTCTGAGGTCCCTTTTAGCTGAGATTCTGATATTGTGTTTGCCTCTACCCATAAGCATAGTCAGACTCCTTTTCCAATTATAAGAAGCATTCTATCATTGCCCTCTTAAATGCTGCCTCCAACTGGATCTTACAGTTTTATACATATTTGGGTGATGAGATAAGTGATATTGTCCAGAACCTATGGAAACATGCTCTTTTTTTGCCTCTGTTTTAGCACATGTTGAGCAAGGATCTTTTTCCTGGCCAGTTTCCAAAAGTGATTTTAAATCTAAAAAGTTATTTGGGAAGGGAGTACCCTGTGTGTTCTAAACCTTCTGTTTTCAGCAGAACCAACTCATTTTGAGACTTTTAATCTGATGCCTTGTCTTTCTAAAAAGACTTTCTACCATTCAGTCTCTCCTTTTTTTATGCCATCATTTGGACAGTGGGTGGAGGGGAAGAATCTAGGTACGGAAAAACATAAAGGTCTTTTGTTATGAGTGGAGGAGGGAGTGGGGTTGTGGGAAGTTTAGCTTGAATTAACTAAGATAGGATTGCCTCTTCACTCTTCAAGCACAGACAGCTCAAATGTTCTCCTCTCAGGAGTTTGCCTTTTAGATGGAATAGTTAGTGTCTGTACCTTTATCCTTGTTGGCTTCAACAGCTTCTTCTGATGAAGGGCTGGGTGCGGTGGCAGGCTGTGCCTCATCTTTAAAAAGGAGAAAAAGAAATAGAGCCTTTTAGTTGTTACTGTCAAGTTGGGAATTCCCCTGCCCCTCCACCAAAAATAAACCTAACCTTGGCTTAGAGAGGTCAAATATTAAACATTCTTTGATGGAAAAATGGTTTGATACCACCTCTGAACAATCAATGGATTAGAGACCAGAGACCATCTGATAGTTACAGAGCTCAGTAAGGATGTACTTATTTCATTTTACAGAAAGCATTATTTTTAAACTATTGGCAGCACCCCTTCCCCAAACTCGGGAGGTTCATTGTTTTCACTTGGGAATAGAACAAAAACAAAAGCAAAAGTCTTCTGGCTTCTAAGAAGTGTTTTTATGTGTGTGTTTTTAAAGTTTGGTTTCCTTAGCACAGATTTCTTCTAAGCTATGCCGGGCTGTCAAACCACAGGGAACATTTCAGATGGCTGTCAGTGCAGGGATATGCAAGAAAGAGAGCATTTGTAAGAAGGCACAGAAGCCATTGAACATTTCAGATTGTTCAAGCACAGGTAGAGAAGTAAGAAATTTTAGATTGCCAGTGATGGCATCAATTAAAAGGGGGCGGAGGAATATGGGCCAACACAGAACAGAAACCTTATCAGTAATATCAGGTGAGTGATGTTTCCATGCATTATCTTTTAGCTAGCAGAGAATTAACTAGACAACATTTTTAAAATGATTTTAAAATAACAGAATTAATAGAATAATCACTTGGAATGTTTTTATGTTAAATTTGAAATACCTAGATAAATCATAACTATTTATAATTAATTTACAGGATTATAGGTAAATACCCATGTTTAAATAAACATTTACCTAAATCAAAAGATTAATTCTACATTTTCCTTTTATCTTAAGACCCTCCGCAATGTGGCTCTCACATATCTTTCTGGTCTCATTTCACAGTATTCCTCTTCACGAATTCTTTATTCTCGTCCCACTTGCCTGCTCAGTGTTCCCTGTAGATGCCATCTATCTCCTACCTCTTTGCCTTTGCACAGGTACCTGCTCCCTCCCCATCTTCGTGTCTTAAAATGCCTAGCTTCCTTTACAGCATAGCAGTCACCTCATACCTAAGACTTTAAAAAAATGTCCCCAGTTGTTAGAACTGTTTCCACCTTAAAATCTTTGTATTAATTAGTATATGCTTTATGTATTATATCACTTCATCCCCCATAGAACAGCATATTCTTGAGGGATGGGTCTGTTTTGTTTTCAGCACTTAGCACAGTGTCTTATACATAGCACATGCTTTGTATGTAGGATGGCTGGGGGAGACACACAGTGTCTGTCTCTATGGAATTTACAGTCTAGAATGAGAGATGATAATGTCTGCGGTATCTACCTTATAAGATAATTGTAAGGATAAAATAAGATAATATTTGTAAAGATACTTTATAAACCTTAAAGTCCCAAATAAATAACTATTATTTTTACAAAAGTAGTGTGGAGAGTTGTCCAGTATTTGGGATCAGGTCTGAAGTGTGGCTTTGCCACTTTAGAGTTAAGTCATTGAACTTCTCTGAGCTTCAGTTTCCCCATCTGTAAATTGGGGATAATCACAGTTGTAGTACTTATTGTACTGGTAGGAAGTTCAAATGTATATTTTAAGCACTTTGCGAACTTTAAAATGTAATACAGAGATTGGCTATTATTATTACGTAGCCTATACACAAATAGCTGCAACAGAATACCTAAGATAATAAGAGACATACAAGGAAAGTTCTATGTGAGGTCCCAGAGGAGAAAGGTCATTCTCCTCTGGGGCCACCAGAGGAGATGATTTTTACTTTTAGGCCATGTCTACACTTGTCAATAGAACCAACTATGTTGGGACCCAATTACTGATTGCTAAGGTAGTCAAAGCTACTGACTTAATAGCCCTTTGATCTTATGTTTTTCATCACTTGGACTTGACTTTTGATGGCAGATGATTCACAATAAAGTCATAATTGATATGATCAGTACAACAGTGAGGAATATTATTTTATTAGCAAAGGAATTGACTAGAGGTGGAACCAAGATGGTGGAGGAAAGCCGGAGCTGGAAAGAAAATTCAATTTTCAAGTACAAGACTGAAGAGAAGCAAAAAAAGGTAAACAGGAAAAAATGTTATTCAAGAAAGTTAAACTGTTTACATCCCTGCATGAGAAGATGAAACTTGGAACTGTTGAGAACTGTATCTCTATTAGGGCAGTTGGAAGGAGTATACATAGACAGAAGTTGACTTTCATGTGATAATATAAAAAAAAAGGGGGGTGAAGAAAAGGATTATACTGGGAGAAGAGGAAAGGGGAAGGCAGAATAGGGTAAATTACATCATGTGAAGAGATGTAAAAAACCTAACAGAGTAGATGGAAAGTAGGGAGGAGGTGACCATTGTTTGAACCTAACTCTCATTGGATTTGGCTCAATTGAGTATAGAAATTTATCTTACCCTATAAAGAAGTAGGGGGGAAAAGGGAAAGAAAAGGGAGGTAGGGCTGATAGAAGGGAGGGCAAATGGATGGAGGCAGTGGTCAGAAGCAAAACACTGGTGAGGAGGGACAGGGTGAAAGGAGAAAGTATAAATAAGGGGACAAAAAGATGGAGGGACATACACAGTTAGTGATCATAACTGAGCATGAATGGAATGAACTCTCCCATGATATGGAAGCAGACAGCAGAGTGGATTAAAACCCAGAATTCTACAATATGTTTACAAAAAACACATTTGAAGAACAGAGATATACACAGAGTAAATATAAAAGGCCTGAGCAGAATGTATTATGCTTCAGCTGAAGTAAAAAAAAAAAAAAAAGCAGGAGTAGCAATCCTGATCCCAGACAAAGCAAAAGAAAAAAAAAAGATCTAATTAAAAGAGATAAGGAAGGAAACTGCATCTTGCTAAAAGGTACCATACAAAATAAAGTAATATCAGTACTAAATATATATGCAACGAGTGGTATAGCATCCACATTCTTAGAGGAGATGTTAAGTGAGTTATAGGAAGAAATAGACAGCAAAACTACATTAGTGGGGGACTTCAACTTTCCCCTCTTGGAACTAGATAAATTGAACTATAAATTAACAAGAAAGAAGTTAAGGAGGTGAATAGAATTTTAGAAAACTTAGATGTGATAGATACGGGGTAAAAACTGAATGGAGATAGAAATATACCTTTTTCTCAGTGATATATGGCACATATACAAAAACTCATCATGTTTTAGGGCATGAAAACCTCACAATCAAGTGCAGAAAGGCAAAAGTATTATAAGCATTATTTTCAGATCATGGTGCAATAAAAATTACGTGTTATAATAAAGGGTCATGGAAAGATGGATTAAAATTAATTGGAAACAGAATAATCTAATCCTAAAGAATAACTGGGTAAAGCAACAAATCATAGAAACAATCAATAATTTCATCAAAGAAAATGACAATCATGAGACAACATACCAGATTTTAGGGGATCCAGCCAAAGCACTTCTTTGGGAAATTTTTTATCTTTAAATGCTTATATGAATAAGATAAAGAACAGATTAATGAATTGGGCATGCAACTAAAAAAAATCTAGAAAAAGAAGAAATTGAAGCAATAATTAGGAGTTATTTTGCCCAACTGTATGCCAATAAATCTGACAATCTAAGTGAAATGAATATTTACAAAAATATAAATTGCCCATATCAACAGAAGAGGAAATAAAATGCTTAAATAACCCCATTTTAGAAAAAGAAATTGGGCAAGCCATCAATGAACTCCCTAATAAAAAATCTCCAGGGCCAGATGGATTTACAAGTGAATTCTACCAAACATAAAGAACAATTAATTCCAATACCATATAAACCATTTGGAAAAGTAGGTGAAGAAGGAATCTTGCAAAATTCCCTTTATGACAAAAATATGGTGCTGATGCTAAAACAGGAAGAGCCAAAACAGAGAAAGAAAATTATAGACCAATTTGCCTAATGAATACCAATGCAAAAAAATTTAAATATTAGCAAAGAGATTATAGCAATTTGTCATGAGGATTTATACCAGGAATGCAGGGCTGGTTCAAGATTAGGAAAACCATCAGCATAATTAAGCATATGAATAATAAAACTAACAGAAATCATATGATTATCTCAATAGATGCAGAAAAAGCTTTTGAGAAAACATAACATCCATTCCTATTAAAAACACTAGACAGCATGCAAATAAATGGAATTTTCCTTAAAATGGTAAATGTTATCTATCTAAAACTATCAGCAAACATTATATGTAATGGGAATAAGCTAGAAGCTTTCCCAATAAGATCAGGGTGAAACAAGGAAGCCCATTATCACCACTATTATTCAAAATTGTTCTATGTTAAATCAATGAGAAGAAAAAGAAATTGAAGGAATTAGAATAGTCAGTGAGGAAACCAAACTATCACTCTTTGCAGATGACATGATGATTTACTTCTTAGAGAATCAACTAAAAAACTACCTGAAATAATAACAACTTTAGAAAAATTGTGGGATATAAGATAAACCCACACAAATCATTAGCATTTCTATATATTATCAACCAAGCCCAGTAGCAAGAGATAGAAAGAGAAATTTCATTTAAAATAACTGTAGACAATATAAAATATTTGGGAGTCTACCAGCCAAGACAAACCCAGGAACTATATGAACACAATTACAAAATACTTTTCACACAAATACAGTCATATCTAAATAATTGAAAAATAGCAATTGCTCATGAGTAGGCCAAGTTAATATAATAAAATGACAATTTCACCTAAATTATTTTGCTTATTCAGTGCCATACCAATCAAACTACCAAAATTGTTTTATAGGGCTAGGAAAAATAACAAAATTCATCTGGAAGAATAAATCGTCAAGAATATCAAGGAAATCAATGAAAAAAAAATGTAAAGGAAGGTGGCCTAGCCATCTAAAACTATATTATAAAGCAGCAACAATAAAGACTATTTGGTACTAGCTAAGAAAAAGAGCAGTGGATCAGTTAAAAA